TGGAGTTCCGGCTGACAGGTAAACGGTCGGAAAGAGGGCGAGCCAAACGCCCAACCTTTCTCCTGCAGATACCAAAAAAAAGAAGTCAAGAATATCGAGCCAAACCGTCTATAATTGGATCTTTGAATCAAGATTTGTGACAAAACATGTCACTGAGAAGCATTCTTTTTTCGCACTTACCAAAAGCGGCTTGTGCAAGTTCTACGTATCGGTTGTAACGTTTCCCGGGGACGGCTTCGTGCAGCTGAACAAGGATCCACAATGTGTAGAGCTGCCAACAATAAGCTATCGTCAAGGCGAGTATTCCCCAACTCCTGCACGCAAGGATTCACATAGTTCATGTAGCAGTCTTAGGAGAAAGAACAGATTAGAAAACGGATTATGCGACTAACCAAACAGATTATTCGATCTACAGGCATTTGAATGTTCTTAAAACTATGGAAAAGCCGTAAACAGAAGCAGCCGGTAATGCATATGTCCGACACTTTTCTTGCTTCTGATGTGTAAAATACCGAGTTTACGATACACCAAAAGAGCTTATTCCATCGAGTATAATGCTGTAAAGGGCCATTCATCAATTCTTTCGCACTTCGAACTTCAATACCAACCAATCTATACGCTAAGTCGCTTGGTACCAGCTTCTTCGATGATCTCATACTCTTTCTTGCAAATTCCTCGGGTTCCATTCTATAAGGGGGGGGGGCTGTCTATGGCTTACCGGTGAACAGAAAGATTACTATACATCTATGCAGAAAGAACACAATCCAAGTGTTTCTCAAGGTTAAACTTCATCTGTAACTCAATGGAACTTACAACCACAGGACTCGAGCAAGATGTTTACAAACCTAAAGATTCAAATCTTTTACAGCTTCCGACATGTTTATAGTTATTTACATGCATTAAACTTATAAAATATATCATAATTATCTTTTGAGCATTTATAGCAAGGTATTGCAACATGGTTACTATATCCAACAGTCACCCGTTTTAGGTAGTGATTATTCAAATATAAAATTGAAAATTTTGAGAAATCATAACACTATGGTACATGTGTATCTATCTATATATATATAGTTACATGATTACGTTACAAGAAAACATATTGTATATGAATATTTTATGGGTGAAATCTAACATCAAAGAGAAAAAGATATGCCACAAACGAACAAGAAACAAAATCTAATGATAAAGAAGCTCCTGTCTTAATCCAAATTAAAGTATAAAGTCAGCCATCGATTTAGGACTGGCCCCATATATACGAAGAATCATGCCAAATAAAAAAGCAAAAAAATCTTAAATTTAAAAAAAATAATCAAACACATCATTATTTTCTTCTAAAAAAACTGGTAATATGATTTTCAGGGACTGGAAAAAATTTCCACATTCTACAAAACAAGAACAATCCTCCTCTTTTGTACAAGAAATTGATCATTTGTATTACAATCTATGTCTATGCATTAATATTTGTATATTTTGATAGACTAAACTATAATTTCCCCATTTTTGCCTAAAAATCAAACTTTATAATTTCGCATTTTTCTAATGTAAAATTTCCGGATAGAAGACTTATTCGAATTAACAGAGAAAATAACACGAATTTTTCTATTAAAAAATCTTAAGCAATAAAAAAGAAACAAAAAAAAAACAAGTCTCCTAATCTAATACCTAATCTCGAGGAAGAAAGAGGGACAAAACGCGAGAAAACTCACCATCCAAGAAACGCAAACGCTACGGGGAGTAAAAGGGCCTGAAATCCAACACCGGCGTTCAGATTGTGAAACGCAGCGTAGTGAGCGTTTCCGTTTCGCGACTCGGTGATTGGAAGCCAAGCGTCCTGAGGGTTAAGCTTGGTGAGATGGCCGACTTCTTCCAGGTAACCCTTCATGTTCACCAAAACGCGTTTCATCGGCGTTCCAATGGGGCTCAAGAAACGAGGCGATATAAACGAAGTCGGCGTCCAAGCCGCCGAAGATTTCGCGTCCTTAGACGCCGGACGCGGCGATCTCTGCCCCGACGGCGTTTGTATCTCCGGCGTCGAGACTCGCGGCGTCGCCGGTATTGATATCAGTTCTGTTTCAGGTCTCTCTTCCATTACCGCGTTTGCGTTTCGGTCGGCTGCGATTTCGATGGGTTTCTCTCTGTTTTTGACTGTGAGTGACAGAGAGAGAGAGTGAGTGACTGAAGAGCAGCGGCTGAGTTGAGTGTGAAGAGAAATGATGTCTCTTTCTCTCTCTCTACTTATTGTCCTTGCTATTTATTTTTATTATCTTTTAGCCTTTATTTTAAAAAATTTTATACTCGTATTTGGCTTTTATACAGTTTTTTACATGATTTTTTAATCACATTTGCCATACATCAATATCCAAAAAATATAAATTATAAAGACTTTAAATAATCTAAACGTTTAGGTATATTGATATTTTATTATTTTGTTTGAATCTAGTTATTATATTAAAAATATCTTTTTTTTAATAAAATTTAAATAATAATAATAATACTTTACAATTCGGTATAATATTAAAGCCTTTTTTTCCTTTTGAAGTTGTTAAACTTACGTGAATAATAATGGTCAAAGACGGACGATGACATGCCCCAATTCATTGATGCTAACAGTCTTTATAAGAATTCATGGACGATAATAATTATGTTTATTGATTATATTTGAAAATATGTAGTTAGTGTGGTGTATAAAGTGAATAATTTCATTTATTATGCCGGAATGATGATATTATATATCTGAGAAAAAAATTAGTATTTTGATTTATTAACACGAGAAGATAATCCTCTTTGCTATCGGAAGAATCACTCCGCCCTCTCCTCTATAATTATTCATGTGTATATAATATATATATATATGTATATTATATTGCTATTTAGGCTCTTTTTTAGTATACAACTAACTATATTAAATTCAAGAAAATAGTAACGAAAAAATATAAAAAAAATCTTTTGCAAAAAAAATAATAATAAGTAAAACAGTTTGGTTTTCGATCCAAAATTATTCACAAAAAAGTCACGTGATCAAAATCAAAGAACACCATTTCATACTGACAGTTGCACTCGTTATGTCAAAAAACAAACACTGACGGCAGCATATGTACGTGAAGTGATTGGCTGAGTTTATCATGAAAGTCTGGAATTATTCAATCTCCACCGTTGATTTTTCCAAGCGATGGACCCATTCTGTCATTCGACGGCCACGATTGCAGCAGTGAATTGTAGAAATTGACCGTTGTTTTGTTTGCTTTCCGATGAGTACGAACCGTATACGTCAGCGCGTGTTTATACGCGCTTTGAAGCACGTGGGGAGCGTGGGTAAGCAAGCGTTGAATGGTGGGGATCAGCAAAGAAATCATGACCGTTCATTTTGTTTTCCAGAGTGGGATCCTATTGTCTACTTCATGTTAATTTCCATTTATACATTTTCCTTTTTCCTTTGTAAAATATATTTATACATTTTTTTTCAAGTTCAATATAAAGAAAAATACATTAGTCGAATTAACGTATCAGAATATCTCATGCGTTTGTAAGAAAAAAAAATTGCGGACCATTGTTTTTCCAATAATAATTTGTCAATTTGCATGGAACTATGTTATAATAAGATAAAGGCAAATTTATATGCCAAAAGAATATATTGTCATGTTATAATATATTTACGCCAATTATTTAAAAACCATTAAAAAATATTCCGATCTGCACAGGATCTACCATATAAATAAATAAAATGCCATATTATTAAAAACAGGAATAATTATTAAACAACATAGATTTGTAACTGTTGTAGCATTTAAATGTTCAATGAATTTATTACAACAATATTAATTGTATATTGATTTGGCTTGGCATACTCTTAAATTGAGTTGATTATAAGGCATATTTGGGATGTTAGTGTTAGGATTTGACAAATGTTTGAATTATCTTTAAAATTTATATATAACTTGATTAATTTTCGAACCAGTATTTATATAATTCAAAGTGATTACGAAACTTTGAATTTTTTTTTTAAATATTTTTATAAAATCATTTATTTACATTATTTATCTTATACAATAAATTATTTTTTAAATTGTATCAATAACTATACTAATTAAAATTATAAATTTATTTTAATTTTATAAAATCATTTATTTTGGTTTCGTTCGGTGAAATGCACGAGCACACCCATAATACTTCTGGCCGCAAGGCAATAAAATATCTTCCAGACGGCACGATATAAATTAAAAACCATTAATATTTATGATAATATTTTTTATAAAAGCAAGCGATTCATTATATAAATATTTACCGTGGGAAAAGTTTTTGCATAGAACAGAACAATTACCATGATTTTATTCGGTGGAAAAAACGGCGTGATGTTGTTTTCGGAGAGGTGGGGACAAGAGAACAGCGTGCTGTTTTGACGATTCGTGTGTTGTAGCAGCAGGGAGCAGACATGATGTTTTAGCATACCATCATAATTTTATGGCCACTTTAAAGAAACTTATATTATGATTCTTGATTTTTTCATAAATATCAAACAAGGTGACAAGTATTTCTGAATAGTCCAATTAAATAATGATAACCAATAAAATAAAAATTACTTATTTATAAACTCCGAAGCTACAAATAGTTCAACATTTTCCAAAAAATAATGGATTTGGTCTCTAAATCATTTAACCACATTGTAAACATATTCATCCTTGTTTCTAAATGGGTTGTTACTCCAACTTCAACTTTAAAAAATCCATATTCACCGTGAAGTCAGTTTTTTTTTTTGCACTTTTTGTATATTTATTATGCATTTTTTTCTATTTTCAACCTGAAAACTTTGATTTACCAAAAAAAGACTGAATTTTTCAATTTTAACAAAAAACACTAATTGTTTTTGTCAAATAAATATTAAAATTTTTAAGTTTACCAAAAAATACTTATATTTTCTACGATTATCAAATTAAACAAAATAAATTGATGTGATATAATAAAATGTAAATACGTCAAATTATTGTAGTTGATTTTTTTACAACCGCAGATAGTTCATATATTTTTTGTATCAATTAAAAAGTTTAGTATTTTTTTAAAAATCTCAAAAAAAATTATGTATTTTTTTGAATAATTTTAAAAATTTAATATTTTTTTTTAGATTCATTTAAAAAGTTTTATGTTGATTTGACAAAAAATTAATATTTTTATCAAAATTAGAAAGTTGAGTGTTTTTTTTTATAATTTCTCTAATAATAATAACAACAACAAGTGGAAGCGGATAATCTAAAGTTGAAGCCAAAGATGGTGAGAAAGGTATTACCCATTTATCGAAGTAGATGCAGATCCATGAAGCAATTCGTTCAAACGTCATTAGTGTTCCTAATGGTAGCTGAAAACTTGTTAAGTAGTTATTACCACACTACTTTCTTTTACATTTTGTTTCCCTGTTTTTTTGTATCATCGATCATCTTCCGACAACCTTGTTCTTTTCGATCATAAGATGGAGTAGCTGTTCTTTCGTCCTTATCCATTGTTGCAATAAGTTATAAGAAACTGTGGGTTTCATTTCATGATTCGAGTCTATAGATTAAGACCGATTTCATGATTTCAAATACGTGTATTTAATCGAGTTCTTGCTAACAATAGTTTTTTTTTATAATTTATAATTCCTTTTCATTTCTATTTCATATATAGATGTTCAATAGAGCTTTTCCATGTTTCGGCTAAAAAAGTGTGGATATTTTTATTGTTGAAAAAGATTATATAACGTATGCAAATCGTTTAGGAGGAAAAAAACAAAGCGTGGAATTATTAACCATCATATTTATACCACTGATTACTTGTATAAGCATAAGCAAAATAATAAATTTTTTTTCGCAAAGGCTATTATAATAAATTTAAGTTCCATTTTTAGGGTTTTGACATAAATCAGATTAGATAGAGAGATTATTATTACCAGGAAGCAGTGAATGGTGAGGGGTGTTTTATTTGTCAGCTACCGTTCTTTGAAGGAACTGGCATCAGATTTGGAGCGGCTGAGATGCCATGGAGGTAGGCATCCTCTCAGAGGTGATTGTAGGAACAATGATGATGATGAGATCTGTTTCTGTCGAGTCGAGATCGACGTTAAGCAGTTTATTGAGCCTGTAAGGCTCCGTTTTTCGTTCTCTTCCTCCGGATTTTCACCATCCGGGTCGTGGCAAACCTCTGTGATCTTGAGAGACTCGGGAAGAACGCAGCTGCATAATGAACCTGGACAATAAATATAATAAGTGGATTGTGTGAGAGAAGAAGGAACATTGACCCGACATTCCATGATCATGATGACGAGTTCGCTCGGCCTAAGACCGTTAAGTCAGGATGCAATTTAACATACATAACCAACATTTCCGGAGAATCTGTTATGAAGAGTTGAATGGCATGACACAAAAACTAGTCCTTTTCCAAGGTTCTCACCAACATAGGTAGACATAGGTCGGGTATTCGAAAGTTTACCCTACAAACTAAACTAATGATCAGTGCATCAGTTTGCAAGGGTTCGAAGATTTACCTATTTCCGCTAGCCGATTTACCCATTTGGGGATTCTTTTACCAGTAAGTTTGTAGCAAATGTCTTGGCAGAAATGGTTGCAGTTCTTGATGATCAAGTGATACGTATTGCCATAGTAACTGCACGCCATGTCCTCCATAAACTCCCTCACCTGAGCAGGGTTTAAACTAGTGGTTCCGATAAATATCGATTTCTTGAATTTGAAGCCAGGGCATTGTCGTGGTTCAACCTCGAAAACACCACTAGTTGGATAATCATGAGCTCCGAATGCGTATTCTACACCATGAACTGTGTAACGAATGTCAAAAGACGAGAGAGTTATAGATATGACTATAGAAGTTTGTTGAATCGCCAAGAAGGTTTTAAACTGGACACTTTGAACCGCATCACATTGATGTTCCGTTTGCGATGAGAAAAAAAGAAAAAAGAGATTTGTCCTAAAACGTACCTTCTACACCTGAGTGAAATATGCCGAGGCCTGCCCAATAGATGTAGCCGTTAATAGGAGTCAAGTCATAAACGCTGAGATACACTGGTGCACGCCCTGGACCACAGTTAGATGACTTCACTTTGGAAAACAAGCAAAAACGTGCAAATGATTTGCCTTTGAGATGTAGGGGGGCGAGCAATTTCCAACGTCTTTTTGACCCAAGTTTCATCTTTTCTCCCAACATCGTCTGAAATTCAAGAAATAGTTTTGACCTACCTGTCCCTGTAGAAAATAATTGTTGTTGAAATATTGACCTGTCTGTTAAGAAACAATGAATAGCCAAAGCAGCAAATATCATGATAACAGTTTGTAACTCCAAGGCAATCACAAGAGAAACCAAACACAGAGGCGAAGAGATGGGCCCTAAAGACTGCATGCAGAAAATGAAGAAAACATTTGATATTCAATCTTCAATTAAATCTTCCTCTCCGAGGAAAAGCTACTTATATGCAAAGTGCTGGCGAGAAACGACATCAGGCGAAGCTAGGAAATAAGTCTGCTCTTGACAAGAGCACATTGGATGACGGGTTGTTTATGCAGTTACTGTGTATGAAGACAACTTTTACCTATCCTCTTTTTCTCTGACTCAGCCTGTCTTCAACATCATATGCCTCTTCATAGGGGTTATCCTGTATGTAAACATCAATCATCACCAGACGCTAAGGGAGCACAAGGAAGGAAATGAAATGTTCTTGTTTAATCTATCTTGCTAGCTGGCACAGATACAACAGCTAATTTAACAATCAGCAACCATCTCTTCGGCCGGCTTCAATCATTTAACACAAGAGGGCATATAAAAAGAGAGGGCATAGAAAAAAAATAGCCCATGCATCCTAACTTACACAAAACGATTCTCATTCTATTGTTTCAGTAAAATCTCCAAAGGATTTGGCAGCCTAGAAAAGTGTCCCCTAATCATCTGATTTATGATACTTTGTGTAACTTCCTATATATTGGAGTAAGTTCAACTCCAAATTCCCACGGGAATATCTAACTCCCTCGATTCATTTGTGAAGCTAGTACAAAATGTGACATCAGTACTATAACAAAGGGGAAAAGTTTCAAATGCTGAAAAGTACCATAAAATGTGTTTTTATCCAACAATTTTTTTTTAAGAAAAAAGTATGACCAGCATTTCAATTACAACACAACACAACAACAACAACAACACCTTAATCCCAAGTTAGTATTTCAATTACAATATCAGGTCTTATTCCCAAGGACTTGCTAACATGTTAGGAGTGGTCAACAACATAAGATGTAATGACATATTAAATAATGGGCAACATAAGAAGATAATATACAGATAGATTAGTAGGGTTAGGAGACAAGTCAAAGCCTCAACAACTCATTCCAACTAATTGAGGCTGACATAGCAAATGCATCCAAATTAGGGTTAGGAGACACCATTAATATTAATTTAGTCCCACAGTCAAAACTTCATGAACCTGTCAATTTCAATCCAAACCCTTTTATCCATGCAATGCTTGTTTGTGCCAGACCAAATGTATTCACACTTGCAGAACACATAACTTGCTGATGAGGTTTAGCTCAAGTGGAAACTGTGGAATCGGAATTGCCAGCCACTGGATAAAAGGCTCTTAAAGTTTTGGCTCGAACAATCGGCAAGCAGTCTTGGCAACAAGTTATAAACAATTTCAGGACACTTTCCTGAAATGGCAAGTCTTCTTGATGCAGCTAAACCAGTGAAACTTAGGGAAAATGAAACGATGCTTCATGGGAAAAAAAAAAATCTAATGCAAATCAATATAGAAACCGCAATAACACCGTTTTGCCAAGTAAAATTAATTTCTCGAGATTCAGAGATTAAGTCTTGAAGCTACTCGACGGAGGACATTGACGGTTCTAGGGTACAGTGCTTCTAGATCTGCCGAAAATGACATGAAAGATAAGAAATCATAAACAAATTCGATGGTGCTCTCTCACTCTGCTCAACATTTCACTTCAATTTCTAGGAAAATGCTGACCATGGATTCGGTCTCCGGTATCTGTTTACCTAGAAATCACGAGAGGACGACGGAAAACACAAATTCCTAGAAACCTCACCGGAATCTGCACATGAACTTGAGAATGCACACCGATACCAAAACGGATCTAGATATGATATGCCAAATTCTAGGTCACTATTGCCCAAAAAAAAAAGACGAAATATAAAAAACAAACGAAATGTAGAGAAGCTTTTTCCAGGAAACTTACGAAATCCAGGAAATCGACATTACTCTGGGAAGCGGAAAAGCGCAGCAACACGGAGCATTTAACTACGAATCACCTGAGTCAGGAACTTGGAAAATTTTCACTCTTGCTTCTTCTTTCTCTCTCCCCAAACAAGAGATAGTTTTTTTACAGAGAAAAATTCGAAATCGTAAAGCAACAAACGAAGGGGAGAGTTTCGGAGAGCGAAGAAGAACGAGCTCCCTCCTCTCTCTTCCTCCCTCTCTTGTCTCTCTCTTCCCCTCTGTGCGTGTGTGTTTGTATTGTTTCCCTTTTTTTATTATTTTTTTTCAATGTTCAATTTTGTTATTTTAGTTATAGACTTACGACTTATTTTTTTAATAAAAATATTTTTAAATTTTGATAAGTTAAAAATCAAATTGAAACAAATAATATATAATTATATTCAAAATAAATTATATATAAAAAATAAATAACAATAATTTTTCAAATAATCAATTTCAAAATAACTACAAAGTTAATAAAAAATATTTTAATTGAATAAAAAATCATAATAAAATTCAATATAAAATAATACCTTTCAGAGAATTTTTATTGCATTAAATTTTACAATTATCAAATGGAGGATAGGTTTTTATTTTGGACTGGCAATGTTCTATCGTAATTATCTTCACGAATTCTATAAATTGTCACTTTAGGCCAATTTAGTTAGTTAATTGATAATATCATATAACCAATGTGATATAATGTTTTTCTCATGACAAATTCCAACCACATAAAAAAAATAATCTAATAATTAAAAATTCTTTTGAAAAATGAATATCCGTGTGGAAAAAATTAGAACCGAACCATGATAAATTGAAGGGAACAAACACTAGCAGAAATGAATATCACCAAATCGGTAAATCTCAATAATCAATTCAAACAATTTAAAACACTTGCAAATTCTACTTCTAATTTAGTCAGTCTATATAAATTTTACAAAATTTTATTCATTTATCACGTACAAAATTTTCCATATACGTAACCTATTTCTATCAGTATATATAAAAACGCAATAAAAAATTACTAAAAATATCATTGTTTCAGTTTTTCAACGTTAAATCATTAATTAACGACACTATTTTATTGATTATCTGGATATTGGAAAATAAATACGAAAGATAAAAGTATGATTATAAATTTCATTATATGTATTTTTAATAAACAACATTCATAATATAAATATTTTTTTTATTATTTAACAAAACAAAAAATAGTGGGCCTAATAAATAAAGCCCATAAGCTTTATATCCAGCAAAATTCCTCTCCTCCATCTTTCTCCCCTGTAAGATTTGAATTTACGCTCTTTAGGTCATGAAAATATATCAGAATTATTCACTGTAAGACCTTATCCGTGGTTAGATTCTTGCGAATAGATGCTCTGTCTCTGCTGCTGTCAATGGCCAATGCAATATTGCAAACGTTTTTTTAATAAAAATAATTTAGAATAGAATGTTTTTTTAGTAATTAGATAGTTGATATTTTTTTATATAAAAACTAATAGTTGATGGATTTTTTTTATAACGAGTTTAAAATGAAAGATCGTTTTTGAATAAATTATATAGTTTCTATTTTTTTTTCAATATTAATAGTTGAATAATTTTATAAATAAATTTAAAACTGTAAAATATATTTTGTGTAAGAAGTATAGTTTATTGTTTTTAGTTTGTCGATAAAAATAAGGGAAATTTTTATATAAATACATTAACTTTTTAAAATATACTAACTAAATAACTTAATTTTTAATTTGATAAAATAATGACTCAAATCTTAAAATACATTAAATTAATATACCAATTTTTGAAATTATGTCAAACTAATATATTAATTCTTGAAATTAAAGTCGATTTCTAAGCAAAATTTAGATCAATTTAAACACTTTTGAACACATGTATAGGGATTTTGGTTGTTGGGGATTATTTTAATTTTAGAAATTGAGAATTTATTTTTTTATATTTTAATATTTAGAGTATTATATTATCAAATTAAAAGATAAGATATTTAATACAGTTTAGTTATTTATATGATATTTTAATAATAATAATAATATTATTATTAATGGCCGTGGCAGCAGTAGCAGACGACCCCGCGCGGCCTTAGTAGAATTCGAAACTCTGTTCCAACAGACGCATCTCACCGCTCTTATTTATTTATTTATTTATTTTAATTTTTTTAATTCCCTCAATGAACTTCACCTCTATTTCCCCCTCTTCTTCTTCCCGCTGTTTCCGCTTACCTCACGTCTCTCTCTCTCTCACACACAACCAAACGATAATCAAACCCAGCAAAAGCCCTAGAAAATTTCCCACGTTTTTCCCCTCCCATGGCAACGACGTCGAACTCCGGCGAAGATCTAACCATCTCTTACAACCACTCTCCGTTCCGCTTCCAGCTTCTTCAACCTCTTTCTCGCGATCTTCCTCCTCCTACGAATTGCCTCTTCCCGACCACTTCGCTGCCGTCTTCCGCCGCTCAGGCGCTGAATCCGCCGTCTGATCACTTCCTTGCTCAGAGTTACGATGAAGCTGTGAGTCCTGCGTTTTCTTTGGTTGATCTTTGTTTCTATTTGATTTTTGGTTTTGTCTGACTTAGTGTTGGATCCTGTTTTCTTTTATTTTTCTCCGAATTTGGTGAATATCGAGTCGGACTTGGTGATCTATGGTTCAGCTTTACTGTGGACTTGGATTTGGTTTGAGTACCACGGCTGTGGATTGGGTTTTTCCAAAAAAAAATTTCTATATTGGGAATGGATCCGTCGTAACGAATGCATCATCCTCTATGGTGAAGTTGTTTTTGATTTGGGTTTTAATATTCTCAAGATCAATGTCTAACATGTTGTGGTCGATCGGCGGGTACTGGAGCTGTTTTGAGAGCACGCACTCGTAGCTTTGTAGTGTTCCCGGGTGCAGCTGAATGTTTAAGCTTGGTAGAACCTTTTTGCTGATTGTAGAAGGATCATAGAACGTGTTTTCGTAGCTTTTCATACTTAGATATACTTGAGGATTAATTTGAAGAGCGAATGGGTTGGCTTTATCAGCAGACTTGGACCTGGTTTTGTATGCAAGACTTGCTTGATTACTTAAATCTTTTAGGAAGGGCAATAAATGGTACATCCTCAAACTTCTGCAGTTGGGTGATATAAAGAATCATAAGAATCAGTGTGGGAAAGGCATATCTGGGGAGAGCAGAGACGTTGCTACGGTATCTGTGAAACTAGAATATCCTGAAGGTTTTGGTAGACATGGCAAGAAGGCAAAGGGTTTTAAACAGTTCAAGTCTCGAAATGGAAAATCAAAGGCTGGTAAGCCTCTTTGCTCACTTTCTTAAATTTAATGGTTAAGATGCTGTTGAAATACCTTTCGCTGTATTCAGAGCACCATACTGATCGATTTTTATACAGAATCTTCGAGTGGCCTGAATGCAGCTAACAATTGCCGATATGACAGTTCCCTAGGTATCTCCAAACCATTGAGTGTCTTTGAATGATATAATGCACAGCAATGTGAAGAGTTATTTGTTTTTACTATTTATCTCATTGTTATTGTGTTTGTGTATGGAGACTACAGTTAGAAACATTGCAGCTTCTCTTTTGTTTCACAGGTTTATTAACGAAGAAGTTCATCAATTTGATCCAGGAAGATAAGGATAGGACACTTGACCTTAATTATTGTGCTGAAGTTTTGGAGGTATGCACTGCATATGCTATATAGAATAGATAGTGACCTAGGAGTTAACATCATAAGATGTTTTTAACCTAAATGTACGGATTTGTGGATCAAAAGCTTATCTTAAAAGAATCCATTAATTGAATGTAAGATGCACTAATCTTTGCTTCCAATGGAGTAATTGTATATTTGCGAATTGATCAATTTGGGGGGATCAACTTTGATGTAGTTATTCCTTTGAGCAGGTACAAAAGAGAAGGATATATGACATTACAAATGTCCTTGAAGGAATTGGATTAATTGAGAAAACTACGAAGAACCATATTCGCTGGAAGTAATAACGACCCTTTCCTCACTTTGATAGGTCCAACTTGTTCAATTTAAGGTCTTCTCACTTCTTGACCATTGATGCAGAGGTTCTGACAGTTTTGCCAACCTGGGAAGTCAAATGTCTAGGCTGAAGGTTAATACACACAAGCAATCATACCTCTTTCTGATGGAATTTAATATATTGGGACGACCGTCACTTGAAATTCATTATTGCATTTTTATTATTTCCAATTGAAATAACCATTTCTCTTTTATGTTGATGATTGGGAATATGAGAATCTGTTTGCCATTTTCCTTAGACTCTGGTCCAGTGATTATTATCCTTGAGCTGCTGGATTATTTTTCAACATCGAAGCCTTCATCTAAATAACTATTTACATCTCTATCTATTGCAGTCAGAAGTGGCTAGTTTGCAGTCTGAGGAAAGTCAGCTGAATAACCATATAAGGTTGACTGTCAATCTGTTTCCTAAGATGCTTGTCCATTGTTCCTTTTCTGATGCTGTCAGAGATATGATATCATTCTATATCCAGGGAAAGACAAGAAGCTCTTCGGGCTTTGGAGGAGGATGAAAATCAGCGAAGGTATTTGTCCCTCCTTGTGTCATTTTTATCTTCTTTTATTTATACATATCCATATCTAACCGAGAACTTTGCAAAGCCCTGACATCTTTGATCTCATTATCAGGTACCTCTTTGTGACAGAGGAAGATATCACGAGCCTCCCGTGCTTCCAGGTCCTCATATATGCCTTTTAGAGATCATTTGAGTGTTAGAGATTATGTATGTTTGTGCACTTGTTCCATTGAGGTTCCAGATCCGGACGCTTTTAACATATTTCTTGCTATTCTTTCATGCAGAACCGGATGCTTCTGGCAGTTAAGGCTCCGATAGCTAGTTCCATTGAGGTTCCAGATCCTGATGAGGTGCGACTTTCCCTGCTTGGTATAGTTTCAGATATTGTTAATGACAATCATATCAGATAATTAAAGGATCATCTTGGTGGGTAGGATATTGGTTTTCCTCAACGACAATACAGGATGGTGGTCAGGAGTACAATGGGACCTATTGATGTGTACCTCATAAGGTACTTCTGGCATTTTTTCTTGCGGGTTTTCAATTTTTGTTTTCCTTATTGTAATGGGTGGTTGCTAGTTTGTTTACTTGTGAGATCGGGTTCTTCTACATAAATTGGCAAAAATGATATTTTTCTCCTGATTGCAGCAAATACGGACAAGAACACGGAGATGCAGCTGATAAATTGTCTGATCATTCGGATCAGTTGTCTCACAAACATGCCCCTTACGCAACAGCCTCTTCAGCTTTGTCATTAGGCCTTGATGAAAATCATTACAACAATTCCCAGTCGTTCTCTTCAAGCATATCGGCTATCCAGAAAATAGTAACGTCAGATACTGATGTAAGTATATGAGAAGGGCATATAAATGCAATATAACAGATGCACACACAACACAAAACTATACCCATGTATCACGTTTCCAACCTCTCTTGGAAATGAAAGTTTAGCATATGAATCATACCAATACATGCACTTGAAACTTTGCGCACACACACACACACAAGTATACATAAATAAATTCATTCACCAAAGCTTTCTTTCTAGTTTACTTACTCCTGTTGTACATCATGTACCTTTCTCTTGCAGATAACTGCCGACTACTGGTTCCAGTCAGATTCCGAGGTTAGCCTCACCGACTTATGGGGCAACATAAGCTGAACTAAAACAGCCCCTTTGGATTCTCTAACCAATAATTCACGTGCCGTTAGAGGATGGACGTGAAACCCGAATGACATACAAATTCTGGGATGGTTTCCTGTGCATATAAACCCGGGGCAGTCTCTTATTTAACATCAAAGATTCAAAGCCACCGAGGATCCTAAGTGCAGGTACTAAACCTCTCGAGAATATTTAACTCATCCGAGATAAAAACACGTTTGGTAGATCACACTGAACATTTGCCGTTAACTAGTAAGTTTAGATAATGCCCGGGGCAGTCTCTGTGGAATTTCTCTGAGTTTGCGGCCTCTGACTTTTTCCCCAATTGAGGCAAAATGTGCTTCGTAGTTTCTCAACATTTTTTTCTTGCTTTATAAAAGAAAAAAGCCCATTTCAAGGATTAGTTAAATAAGATCTATGGAAGATAAATGGACAAAGTTCGTTTCGTAGTTCAGTTTGGTTACTAGGTTGGTGTACTTCCCACTCAGTTTTAGGTTCTGAGTGAGTGGTATGTTTTTTTTTTTCCTCTGTGTAAGATTTTGTGGGATGTCTCTTTATATATCTTTTTTTTAGTTAGAAATCATCCTACTGTTAAAATGAAGACAATTTACATCCCCTCGAAAATAAATTGATGCAGTAACAAGACGGACATCTCACTATGTTCCACGTGGCATGGCATGGCATGGTATATATATGTATAGGTATATGTGTATGTATATATATATATATATCAATTACAGCTCTAATCAGGTCGGGCCGACCCGAAATTACGGGCGTCAAATTTTTAAGCTTAATCCCGTAAATTTATCGGAGAGACTGGGATTGGGTAACGGGTCATGGGCTAAGTTTTTGTTGATAGAGAGAATGAGTCTTATTTCTGTAACTGGTTTTTAAATTGTTTAGTTTAATTTGGTTATGTTTATTCGATTTTATAATTTTTTATTTTTTTTTTTATGTTTGTTCCATTTTAGTCCACTAAATTTAATTCGACTCCTAAATAATTTATTTGATTTGATTTAGTTTACGTTTGTTAAAAGAAATAAGGTCAAATTGTAATCTTGTATTACTGATGAAAATATATCACCTTTTCATCCTCTCAAATCTTTGGACACGGATGGAACATATTACTAGGAATTGGGGTATTTAACACTGAAGGTGAACAGTTTAGGTTTAAAACCCGGTTTCGAATTCATCGCGGAGTAAATGTTTGGATATTTTGCGGTATCCAGACATCTATTCTACCTTGTTGGGCATTCAAATGTTGGAATACCTACGGAAAAAAGAAACCCTTAATTTACCCCTTCGGATATCCACTGATTAATAGTTTGCGATCCAAATTCATCCGAACTTAGATTAAAAAAACAGAATATTTGGTTTCTGGTTCGGGCCTGTCCGAATTTTTTTTTTGGATTTATAACACCAAATCTAAAGTTTGACCCCATAAGATTTGGGTTCGGGTTTAGGTCAAACCAGTCCAATTCTTTTATTGTTTAGACGTTTTAATATTTTGCATTAAATTTTGTTTTAAAAAAAATAGATCTAAAGCTTAATTTTTTCGAAAGTCTAAATTTTTTCGGAACGATAAATTTAGGTATAAAGTCTGATATTTTTTCAGTAGGTTAGGATTAGATTTCGGACCAAATTGATACCCTACCCGACGTGTCATTATGGAAAAGAAACAACATTAAAGTTAGCTTTTGTATACATTAAAAAAAAAAAACAGAAAATCAACTCTCACGTTTTGCATATTCAGCATTCTCATGATTTATTTTAACTTTCTCTACATCATTACCGTTATAAATAAAACCTCGGGAGTTGGCGTAAACAGGATATGACCGTTGGTGGTGTAACCTCTTTCTCCCATTGCTTTATGCCTAATTTCAAATTCAGTTAAGCAAATTAATAAAAGCTTAAAGTCAATAATTCCCTGAAAATGCTTTTCCTAATCCCTTGATTAGGTTTTATCCAAATTGACATTAATTTTCAACCGCTTCTCCACCAATATACATTATTATTCCCCGATATCAGGATTAGTTATGTGTGTAGCGGAAGCAACAAACTAACTAATCCCCAAAATCTATCCATAAACCCTTAACAAATCTAACCTAATGCGATATTTAAATAAAATTTCAAAAAGTCAAATTAACAAATCTTACCTAATAATGTTAGATTTAACCAAAATTCTAAAAGTAAACTGACATTTCCCTAATCTTACAGTATAAAATCACTCATTTTTCTAAAAAAAGTCATACATTACATCCTATTCGTACAAAGAACAGTTTGACTTTTAATTGCGAGTTACCGTTGGCTTTTGTCCGATGCGGACCCAAAGATAGTGGGAGGACTGTTATTATGTTGTACAACTTGTTAGATTAATATTTCAAGGCAAATTTTCTACGGAATACAAAAGGGATTGAAAAAAAAAAACTAAAGGGAAACCAAACCACGTTGATGAGGTTGTTGTCTCTCTCTTGGCGTATGGAAGGACGTCACATTCCAATAAAACCCACCAACGAATATATATATATATATATCCACCATATCTCTGTAACCAACCTACCATGGCATCATCCCCCCATATAATTCAACAGATTTTACATATCAATTTTCCAATTTAGTTCATGTGAATACTAACAAATATGAAAAGAAAAGAAGATCAGCGACAAAGAAGACCGGAAAAAAAACGCTATATGCTTTTACCCTTTTGGCTTTTAGCGTGTTTCCGCTGAACGTGTCTTCCTCAACATTCCACGAGTAACTCTTATCGTTTCCTCCATGATCGTCTCCTCCAAAGGAGACGACTTCGGGTTTGAGTTCTCGTTCTTGCTCTTGTCGTCTGGTTGGGATGGAGATCCCACGGCTTTTTCGATCTCCATTGGTTCAGCTTCGGTTGTAGGAATCGATTTGGTTGGAATCGGAATGGGGGCAGATACCGATTTTCGGATGGTTTGGGTATTACTAGAGTTTTGGGAATCCGGGGCTGGTTCAGAGGTAGACGTTTTGGGTTTTAGAGGGCTCGGTTTTCTGGTGACCTCACCTTCGTCTTCTGGTTCACTTGAGGACGAACTAGATGTCGGTAATGGTGGTTCTTCAGACGCTGATTGTGGCATTTTAGGGGCTTGCTTAGGCTTAGAAGTTGAAGGTTGGTTAACCTTCGGGCCGCGTTTCTGCACCACAAGCAATATACGTACGTCACAACAACTCAAACATGCTAAGGTACATATGTATGCATATATATTTGAACTTAACGTATCTGGTAATTGTGCGTCTGGAATTAGCGTATCTGAACCCATAACCACAAGATATCTAAGCTGAACTAATTGAGAGACTATACGCCTCAAACATTTACAAAGGAATCATCAAATTGAGATCACTTTTTGCAGGTTTTGAGTTGTGTGTTGAATAGTATACCTGAGGCGGTTGTGGCCTTGGAGTTGATTGTGCGGCGATATACTGCAGAATGTCAAAGATTCGGGTCTGCCCGTAACTTGCAACTCTTTGCCAGTATATAACAACCATATCCCCAGCGCTTGTCCTTAGCTCCATCAAGCTACGGTCTATGTCATTCTCATGCTTTGCAACATATGGTCTGAAGAAGGAATCATAGACATAGGTAGTTCCCTGAATAAAGTCCAAGGAAAAGAACCATCACAAAGGGTCAGGACCAGAGGATCAATCAGTGACAAGTTTCTCTGACCAAAAAAGACAGCTTACCATGGTTTTAGGATACCAAAGGTAAATAAAGAATGCCAACTTAGCTTCACTGTACATCGGAACCCTTCAACAAAGGAAGACAGAGAAATCGTATGAGAGAGTTCAGCAACTGCTCATCGACAGAGAATGAAGACAGCTCGGGTTAGAATCCCAACCATGAAACAAAAGCATCCCCAACTCTCTCAAAAACCGTCAAGCAAGCAACCAATATCCTGCGACCAGGCAATTAAGTGAACCTTTGAAAACAAAAGAAAGAAAGCTGTTTTTTCAGTTAATCTCAGAAATGGTTGACACTGGAGATAACATACCAGTATTGACACCAAAAGCGGAGTTGCTCAATCTCAGGCTTGTTCTTTTCAACAGTCTTGTAGCATTCATAAGCAGGATAGGCATAACCAAAAACCATCCTGCCAGAATGTGGGAACCACAAGGAAATATAATCAAATACATACTCCTATACCCACAGTGTATAGGAATCAAATTCAAGGAGGTTGACGAGTGGAACCATACACCAGTCCTCTTGTAAGAAAGGATCCAATCATCTTGTACAACTGAAACAAAAAAGCAAGAAAACTGGCATTGGTCACCAACATTGATCATAAAAAAATGTCGGAATGGGCAAATAAAACCCTGACTTTGTCATGACACAGGCACAACCAGGGGGAAACTCATAAAGCAAAATACGCATCACTATAACCAGAGGAGCAAGCAATGTCCAATGGAGAATTTGCTCACAGCTTTTAGGCTTACTACTATCTTCAATTAGCAAATACCTAAAACCTCGATTCCGATCAAATCAACCAAAACCCCGGAAAAATGATACCGAAGACGACATAATCAGACCAAACAATTAAAAACTCACCATTTCTGATCCCAATACCGACCAAAAAAACTAAACCATACGGCAATCGATCGAACTAATTTGGAGACAGGAGAAAAAAGAGCACAGAAAATCACAAACCGACAAATACCTCTTCTCAGATTATCGATGACTAAAACAAAGAGAACACAGCAGAAAACCGCACACAGCACCAACGAACTCGAGATCGGAAAGTTCGCCGTAGCAAGAGAGCTATCGCCGGAGGTCCAGTGCACGAAACGACGCCGGAGATGATGCCGGAGAAAGGAAATAATGGGAGACCCGTAAAGAAATGAGGATTTTTGAGTTCGTATATAACAAAGGAGCAATTATCGAGTGTTTCGCGTTCAATAGCTCAATAATACATATGAGCATTTTCAGCTGTACGATCGAAATCCAACGGTCAGATGTTATTAAAGTGACACTCGTCCGTTTATATGTCACTGTAGAGGATTGCTTCTGGGCCTAGCTATCACTACAAAGTGGATGATGAGAGAGAGAACGTAGTGGATAACGAGTTACGAAATTGCCCCCGTGGTTCGTTAAAATCACGGATCCAGGATTTTCCCGTTGGATAGAATGAATTAGTTTTTTTTATGATTTCTTTTCATATTTAGTTCCTTTCTTAGCTCTTTCTTCAGCTAATTCCTTGCTTTGTTTCATCTTTCCCTTTTCTTTTTCTTTTGGTGCATCTTTCTTATCCCAAGGTAAGGCAAATATATTTGACTATTTGAGTTTACTTAATTAGTATATTTTTTTTTGTTTCAAAATTAATATTGTTTTTATAACATTTTAAGAAATCATGGTATTTATATACTATTTTGCTTTTGCGTAATTAAATGGAAACGTGTAACAAAAGCTCTATCTTGTGTCACCTCATTTGTATCTGTTTCACATGTTGAAAACATGATTTAAGGAAAATGGAATAGATTCGAAATAAATTAAATAAATAATGTATAATTAAATTCAGGTTAAATTATAAAAATAAAAAAAATGATATAAAAAGTCGAATGAGTATGATTTTTGAAAACGAAAAAAAAAATAACTGAGATTTTCTTTGAAAAGTAAGCATTTTTATCACTAAAACTAAAAATCAACCCACTGAATCCAATATAAAACAAATGAATGGGTATAAATTTTTATACCTGAAAAAACGATCCGAAAATAATCAAACCAAACAAAAAATAGCCACCCTGGTGAGTAACAGCAAAATACACTTGGGAAATCACACAGACCAACGAAATGCGGGTTCAGCCCGGCCCGAACCCGTATTTAGCCCTATTCCTTCTTCTTCGTTCAATTTCCTGCAAAGATCATTCGATAGAGAGAGTGAGTGAATCCTGTTCTTGTTCGACATCAGATCAAGATAGTACATGTGCTTTTATGATATCTAAATTACTATTTGATTGGTTTTTCGATTTGAAAAACATCTAGAATTCCATTTGTTTTGCATATTCATTGGTTAGGGTAGAGAACCACATCAATGATTGATAGTGTCAAATACAAATTTTTGTATCAGTGATCAGAGGAAGATCAATGATTTGTTCAATGGAATTTGAGCCGTGTTTTGCAGTTCAAGAGGTGGCTGCTTCTTGTTCTTCTAATATTTTTCAGCTTAATAGTCTTATATATATATATATATATATATATGTATGATGATGATGATGATGTCAGCAAGATTTTGTATATAATTGTTGGATTACGCATATAATACATTGTTTTGGTATGCGTTGATGGGCCTGGGCCCAAATATTATTTGGAAACCCACATTTTAAAAAACAATTAAAAAAACAAACAAAATGACATGTGGATTATATGCAATAAATAAATAAAAATAAATGTATTTACTGAAAAACACATCGATAAAAAAGAATATACGTTATATAGGTAATTACATTTGTTTATAGATTGGGCCAAGCTAATAATCAATTGGCAAGTTAAATGGGCCTAGATGTTATCATAATCAAATCGAATGGTATAATTTTTAACTAAAGAATGAAATATAAAAAACAGTAGAAAAAATTTACGTAATTATTTTTGTAAAATAAAAGATCCTCAGCAAAACCCTAATCAGATTGATATTAAACAAAAGCCTTTGCCATCTTCAACTCCAGTCTTTGAGCAGCTCCTCCTCGGCTTCAGCTCATAGTCCTCGCTCGAGAAAGTTTAGCCCTTTTTTTTTTTTTTCATTTTCCCTTCTCCGAAAGCTACAAAAAACATTACAGAGCTTGTAAGGGAAACCGAGACAGCTAATGATGGATCAGAGATTGGTTTCTTTCAGATGTCGAGGAAGCGGGATCAGAGATTCTGACCTCTTTCGACGCACGGATTGCATTGCTTCTTCTTGTAACAAATGAGACACAAACACAGACTCTCTCACCTTTGATTTTCTACCAACAAGGGGGGAATGGTTTGTCATGAAGAGGCATCTGAAATCATGATTCGGCGTGGATCGAAGCTCCAGGGGCAGCAGTGTTCTTACCTCAAAACACTCGGAACACCCAAGGATCATGGCTCTTGCCTGAATGACAAAAAGAGAAAAAAAAGAAGAAGAATCTCTGTTACAAAGCAATTAGATCCAATGAGGAGGAACGCTGTAAATTTAGGGTTTGACTGAAAACTCGAAAAATACCTGGGTAGGTCTTTGATCTCAGGCGAGAGAAGACCCATCTGTTCGGTCAGCTTGTCCATATGTTTGGCTCTGTCCCACCCATTTTGCTTCTTCTCGGTCTCCTTGTTCTCAATTCTAACATCTGCTGTTGCTGATGAATCCATATCATCAGACACGGGGCTTGACGCGAGAAAGTCCTCCAGTAATAGGGTAGAGTATTATATCAAGGGGTCAATGTCTGGATCGAGAGGAAGGTCATCAATGTCAAAGGGTACAGAACCATTCACCAACAAATCAGGGTCCACAAAAACGCCAGAATCTGTGTCCGGATCCATGAAACTATCTGTAGGTACGTCTACTATATTTCAGGTAGCCTGAATGACAAAAGGGAAAAAAACCCAGATCCAATCAAAATTTAATGCAGACTCTCCCATCTTTGATTTTACCATGCCTTGATGGGCATTTTCATCAGAACCTTGTGCAGTTTTCCAAAAGCAGGGGCTAAAAAAGTATCTCAAACTCCCAGGGGGCATTATTGTTCTTACCTCAATACATCATTTGCTACTGCCTCTGCTCCATGCCCTCGAGCTGCTGTTTCGTTTTTTGAAGTTGGTCGTGATGTCCGAGTTCCGACAGAAGAGCCATGAGTTTCTGAAACTTTCTGAGACGAGGCTCGATTTGATTGAGTCTTTGATTTTACCATGCCTTGACAAACATTTTCATCAGAATCTTATGCAACTTCCCAACAAGAGGGGAATGATTTGTCATGAAAAGGCATCTGAAATCATGCTTCAGAGTGGATTGAAGCTCCAGTGGCAATAGTGTTCTTACCTCAAAACACTCAGAATATCCAAAGATGTCTGAATGACAAGGAAAAAAAAACAGATCCAATCAGACGTCCAATGAGGAGGCAGGCTGTGCCCAAACAAACAAAGACACAGGATTTATGATATTGAAAACAGAGGAAGTGAAACATAGAGATAATTTACCTGGATAGCTTGAAGTTTCTGGCTCTTCTCATCAAACATACAACCATGCGATGTTGGCTCTTCTCATCAACCGTTTAGTACTTACATCTACTAAGAGAGGAGATCCAAAACCCCCTTATCCAATATACCTCCATATACCATATCCCTTATCATATTTGAGGTTGATGCATGCATAGAAAAGCCATTGCTCCGCATTTCTCGTATCAGCTCGATAACCATCAATGGAAAGCGACTTCTAAGACGACCCCTGATCAATGCGTTGTACATACCAGCGTCGGGAAAACAACCATCCTCTTTCATCTTCCCAATTACCTTCTCGGCTTCATAGAGTGAATCTTTCCCACAAAGTCCGGATATCATTATGTTATACATGATAACATTCGGCTTCACCCCTCTGTCAAGAAGCTTATTAAATAATATCAACGCTTCGTCAACCCTCCCAACCTTGCACAAACCATGCATCATGCAACTATGGAGAGGTATATGGAGATCAATCCCACTCTTATCCAACTTATTATATAAGCAAAGTGCCTTGTCTGTTTTTCCATTCTTACAAAGTCCATCAAGCAAAATGATGTAAGTCACAAGATCAGGACTATGACCCTTATACTGCATCTCCATGAAAACCTTTTGGGCAGCACCAAGATTGCCTACTCGGTAAAACCCTTGGATGAGGATGTTGTAAGTAACTACATCAGCAACCAATCCTCTTCGAGACATCTCATAAAAGAGATTAATACCCTCATCGACCCTATTAGCCTTGCAGTAACCATTTATTATAGAATTAAAAGTTACTACATCTGGTACAATCCCACAACTACCCATCTTTCCGAAAAGGTTCAATGCACCATCCACGTGTCCGACTTTGCATAGATAATCGATGATCGTATTATAAATTACGATATTGATCTCAATATACATTTCCTCCATCTTCTCGAGTAGATTCATGGCCAATGCATAATCTCTTGCCTTACAGATCCCGTTTATAAGAATGCCAAATGTAACTACATTGGGCTGACAATCCATCTTTAGCATTTGATCAAATAAACTCAATGCTTCAGAAACTCTACCCTCAAGGCAAAGCCCGTTGATCAAAGTACTAAATGTTACAACATTAGGTTTGTATCCCTCTTCCACCATTTGGTCAACCAAGCTTAAAGCCGCTGAAATCTTTCCGTGGATACAGAAACCATGAGCTAGGGTAGTGTAGGTGACTACATTCGGCTTATAACCGAGTTTCAAGATTTTGCCCACGACAGATAAACCCAAAAACACTTGAGGAGAGTGGGAGAAACAGTTGATGAGAACATTCAAAGAGTAGATATCATGTGAAACCCCAAGCAATTCCATTTTCTTGTAGAGGAAAATGACAACATCATACCGTTTCATCTTCATGATTGCACTCAATAGTTTAGTAAAATCGGTGATGGAAGGTATGGGACGAGACTGAACCATCTGATCGAACAAATCAACAACATACTCGGCATGACAATCATGAACCCCACATCTCAATATATCTCTGTATGACATATTGCGGTCTCTAACATCGGAAAAAGCCGATCTCCGACAGCTTAAGACAGAGGAACAATGCAAGAAGTTGTTCAGAGTACCTCTTCTTAGGGGATGAGTCTGAAGCAGACCTGAGGCAGAAGCAAATGCAAAAGCAGCCATTCTCTGGACCATCGGCATCACATTAGCTTCCATTCAAAGAGACAGAATCAGAAACCCCCACAAAACCTTATCCTTTTCGAATCTGATTCAGAAAGCCAAAACCCAAGTAAACACTCAATTCAGACATAAACAGATTACACGAATTTAACATAAAAACTGATATGAGAATCAATTCAGACAAGAGAAGAGCCGACCGCAATCAACATAAAAACTGATATGAGAATCATTTCAAACAAGTATGAAAATCGAAATCGAATAATTGAGAGGAGACTTTGAATAAAAAATCAGTTAATAATTAAAAATAAAAACAAAAAATTAAATGTGATTAAATTATGATAGATCTGTTATATTTATTAGTTATTTGATGTTTTTTTACCGAACCTCTCAAAGTTAGAGAGGGTCGCATAAAATTTTTATAAAGATATATGTTCAAGTTCCAAAAATAAGTGTCGTAAAAAAATGTTATAGTTGAAAGTTAAGTCACATTGTTGGCTTGTAATAATTGGGTAGTTCACCTTAATAAAAAAACTATAAATATATATTTTTTGTATCTTAAAAAAAACTTTTTCTAGTCTAATTCATAATATATTTATATATGTTATTAGAGTGTCCACATGTATGTTAGATTATTATTTATCTTATTCGATTAGGTACAATCTTCTATGATTGCGTGTGTGTGTATATATATATATGAGTTAGAAACCCTATTTTTTATCAATAAATCATTTTAAAATTGGATCAGCGTATGTCTTAAAAAGATTGAACGTTACAAGTTTCACATCACAAATTGTATGATCTTACCCCCAAAACAATCACGTGGACATATATAGGATAGTAGGTTTATATCTATAGTATATACATTAACACATATATATATAGGATAAATAAGTTACATTTGAGGAGTTGTTGGCTTGTAATAATTGGATAGCTCACCACCTTAATAAAAAAATAAATTATACACATATATTTTTGGAAAAATTCCAAAAAAAATTACCGACCTTGAAGATAACTGACATATTAATATTGAACTTTTCAAACTTTTAAATTAAATATGAATTCAACGATTTTGACATAAAAAAACACTAAACTTGTAAATCTTTGACAAAAACTTCATCAACATTACACGGTGTTAAATCACTTAACAAACGATATGACGTGGCGAATGACTCAATGCCTCGTCATCCGCTACATCAAATAAGAATTTTTTAAAAAATAAAAAATAATTCTAATTATAAATAAAAAATAAAAAATATGCAATATATATATATATAATATTAAAAAAATAAATATGTATATATATATATTTATATATATGTATTAATGTAAATATACATTTTTAATTTTTAATATTTTATATTATATATGCATATATACATAAACATATATATACTTACATTCAAAAATTCATATATATATATATATATATATATATATATATATTTAAGTTTATAGATAGATATATAAAAAAAATACAATATATATGCAATATATGCACAACTATATATTTATATATAGTAAAATAGTTGTAATTACATTACAAATAATTAAAAATATAATAAACATATCAAAATTCACATATGTATACATATGCATAAAATAGTAACTATTAAATGTATATATATGTATATGTTAATCAATATATACATTTAATATTTATTATTTTATGTATACATATATGTTTATACATATATTATATTACATGTTTTTTTCCTTTAATACATTAATTTTTTATGTTTAATTTTATTTTTATTATTTTATTATTTTTAAAAATTCTAGTTTTAATTTTCAATTTTTATTTTAAAATTTTATTTTTAAAATTTTATTTTTATTTTATATTTATTTTAAAATTTATTTTTTATTTTCTTTCTATCTTTTATAATTATTTTTTATTTTTAAAATTAAATTTTTTTTGACGTCGCCAAATCGTAAATGAGGTTTTTGCCAAAAATTTATAAGTCCAATATTTTTTTGTCAAAATCAACGAGTTCATTTTTAATTTAGAAATTTGAAAAATTCGGTATTAATATGTTAGCTATCTCAAAATTCGATATTTTTTTGGAAATTTCCCTATATTTTTTGTATCTTAAAATATTTTTTTCTAGTCTAATTCATAATATATTTACATATGTTATTAGAGTGTCCACATGTATGTTAGATTATTATTTATCTTATTCGATCAGGTACAATCTTCTATGATTGTGTGTGTGCATATATATATATATATATATGAGTTAGAAACCCTATTTTTTATCAATAAATCATTTTAAAATTGGTCTGCATATATCTTAAAAAGTTTGAACGTTACAAGTTTCACATCACATATTGTATGATATTACCCCAAAACAATTACGTGGACATATATAGGATAGTAGGTTTAATGACTCGGTGAAGCTAAATATTTGTAAATATATATTATAGTTATATTTTAGTCATTTATATCTATATTATATACATAAAAACATACATTTTTATATATAAAACCCCAAGAGTCATGTACCCGTATTCCATTAATTTTAATTTATTAGTTTATAAATATATTTTAAAATTTTATATTTTTTTGCAAACATAATAAATACATACATTCATTTACAAAAGAAATGTTTACTATATAATAACTAGATTTCATGTTCTTACACATACAATCTTGATCTCCTGTTCAAATTTATATCTTCAATTCGATTTTTCAAAATCCAAAGAGAAGAAAACAACATAAAACAAGAATCAAATCTAAAACTTATAGGCCCAATAAAATGCTGCCACGGCCCAATATATGTCTTTTAAGAGAACCCAATGTACGTTTATGGTTTTGTTTTTTTAAAATAAGAAATGTGCGTGTGTATATATTATGAGATGGGAATTTAACAAACTTCAGGCATATATATATATATATATATATGAATTATAAATGAATAAAATCATTTAGTACGCACCTTGTTCTTAAGATGATTGATTTCCTGTCTCCGTTGGTTGCGTGTTTGGGCCTCTGAGATTAAAAAGAAAGTAGGCCGAGTGACGATCTATGATCATATCCACATATATATATATATATATATATAGAGAGAGAGAGAGAGAGATGAGTGCGGGATTTTAAAAAAAATTAAATATGAAATCACAGAATCTAACTATCTGAGCGGCGGAGACTTGAGATTGAGAGTACAAGGGTTGCAGAAGTACATAAGGGCTAAATTACGAAAAGACCCTCGAGTTTTCTCCCCAATAAATTAGTATATATATTTTTCTCGGCATTTAACTATAAATCAAATAAAGAATGCGTGTTTGGAAGAGGGAACAAGTGGATCCCATATAGGGAAGGGGTGGAGCTTTATACCCAACCAAACAAGCCTCTTCCCATTATTATCCCCTGCACCATGCACGTGCCTCTCACGCTCCATCACTTCCTTATATGTGCGAGATATAAATGGATTGTGATGAATTTTTTTTTTGAATAACCAAGTATTTTGTTATTCAAGAGAAAATAAATATATATATAAATATATATGTGTACTGTATATAACGTCTCGTCCACTTCTTCACATGGTCCCAACTTTACAGGCTGGAATATTTAATTTCCCATTGTACCTTAGAGCTTATTTTTAATATCGAAACCGTGTCTAAATTTTTATTTTTGTAAAAAAAGTCATCTGCCCACCACCCACACATCTCTGTTTAACCCAACCCAATTTCATCCAACATTTTAAATATTCTGTTTTAAATAAAACATGTAGTCTAAGAGTTTTAGTGAGATTTTTTAAAAAAAAACCATTATTTTAAAAAATAATTTTACACTATGCATATCTATAAAGATAACCATTTTTTATCATACCTCATATTTCAAAAAAGTTTTGTTAATATAAGCTTTTGAAAACACCACCCATAAGCGTTAACATGCCGTAAAATTATTTAGGTTAGACTAACATTAAAATTTTAAAGATATAAACTATAAATCAAATAATAATAATAATAATTGGTTTATCAGTTGCGTGAGCCGTGGCATCTGGGCTTCCGGCTCTGGTGGCCGGTTTCCGACCACCGTCCGAACTCGAGCAAGAAAAAGATGGGGCAGAATCGGAACGCACCTTGTTCTCGCGTTGCCTTACGAATGGTAGACTTCATGTCTCCGTTGGTTCTCGTCTACCTGGATCCGACAGTCAAGGCATGAGAGAGAGAGAGATAGAGAGAGAGATAGAGAGGAAGGCATGAGAGCTTCACCTGAGATTGTCGAATCCGAGATGAATATCGAAAAACGGCTGAGGCTTCACAGTACAAGGGTTGCAGAAGTACACACGACACGGAAAAGAGAGAGACAGAGAGAGGCAGACACGAAAGCGGTTTTTCAGAAACCCTACTTTGGTTTTTCATCGATAAAATGTTTTAAAATTGGGCTTAATAAGATTAATCGTTACAAGTTTTGTAATGGGCCGAACACTTCTTTTTTAATGGGCCCGTTGTTTAAAAAAAGCACACACTTGGGAAGAAAAACAATTGTATAATCAAAATTTCTCAGGCCGGCCCGGTCTGGCCCAGCCCAAAAGACAAACGGGCCTCGATTTCTTAAGCCCAAACCGTAAATTTTATGGATGAACTCGGATCGGAAATCAAACCTCGGCCTTTTTTGACACCCCTTATAGGCTAATATCTCTTAGGTTCACCAAACGACCCTCCTATGATGTCCGAAGGAATCTGATCAATGACCACAATTTTCTAAAAACACGAACTACGGTACAAGTTATAACTGAGTAACTTATCGGGCCAACAGCAAGAGGAGATATGGATCAAAAATCGAGGCCTCTTATAAGCCTTTCACTTTCTTCTTTTCCGTTTCAGAGATGAGTTTCCGTTTTATTTACTTGAGTTTCTGTTCTGCTTGCCTCTCCTTCTCTGTTTCTTTTTCCCACTTTTGTGTGGTTTGTCATTGAGATGGAAATGGTAGGACCTTTTTCCAGCCTGCGTCGTTCTGGAAACAGAATTTGGACATAAACCTGCCAGGTTCGCTCCCGAGTTGATGTCTTTATGGTCGGGTTTATGTTGCAAACCATGTACTACACACTTTTCTCCTGTCTCCCTGAGCTGAAACCTAGAGCTGGATCCTGGAGGGTTATGCCTGAAACAAAAAGTAAAGTAAGACATACCTTAAAAACAGTCATTGCAAATGAAGGTCTTGGAAGATTCTCATAATCATGTACTAATCTTTTTTTTACCTTTTTCTTCGTGTGAAATCTATAGGAGCTCGGGGTCTCGGATGATCTTCATGCCATAGACTGGGTTTAGGTACCAAATCCGACGCATGCACAATCTGCAAGATGATGATGGATTGGAAAAGCTAATATTAAGAGACAAACTTGCAGAAGATATATCCGCACCATACACTCACAGGACACATAATTTTGTAGAAATGCTAATCAATTAATGCTTAGGTGATACATATAATCATATTTATCTAGATTCTATTCTGTCCCACAACTTTAGATAATAAAAATATGAGACGCCTAAGCCATTAGATAGCGACAAGCTCGTTTAATAAGATTGGTATTGTGTATAGTTGTTTGGCTCTTACCTTTTCGGGGAACACCACTCCTGCGGTTGGGCGAGCAATGTGTTTATGGCTATCTGGAAGTTTGTATATGCCACATCTGATGAAGATATAATCATCGGCGGATCCCAGAAACATGTGTTCAAAGTCCCAATCAAATGCAAAAGAGTAAATAAATAAACTAGAGCAAATTTATCATTGCCATGGTAGTCAAAACCGTTCTATGAAAACCTTACATGACTTGGTTGGCTGAAATATCTTCCATGCCCTCGATTGGGGAGCTGAAGATTGGCGGCTGACAATCTCCAGAACATGGGGCTAAGTAACCATTCATTCCATCACTGCATTCATCCCTAGATAGATCAGGAAATAGTTCAGAGAAATTTTGCAACTCAGTGAAACAAATGTGAAGGATTTTGACTCCGAATGAAGGAATCTTCATGTCCTCATTATTCTGATCTTCTTAATATGTTAAACATCTGTTATTTTCTTGTAAAGCCCTTCGCTGAAGTGATCAGGAATACTTAAGGAGTAATATATAGCACTAGATATGGAAAACATGTCACAACACACCGTGATTTATGAACTTAGAATTAGTTATTCTCATAAGTTAGACACAAACCTTAGCTCGGGGTCAATCTTTTCCGTAATCTTCGCTCGTTTTCTTTTTTTCAATGATTTGGCACATTTGTCCAGAGAACGTATCACCTCAGCCAGGGGATGAGATGCGGCCACAAAGATCATGTCAAACATTACACTGTTTCTTCTAATTTCTTCCTTCTGAAAAGATGATTGAAAGAAAACGAAGTTCAGTTGTGATTTTAGACAGTAAAACGCTACAAGGAAGACGAAATGCAAACTGACAGATGCAGCATACCTTCAATGTGTGCTCCACCAGTGCAATCGCATCAAGAAGACGATGCTCCTCAATAAAAGGCAATTTTGCAATACCCTTCATAAAAAACAGAAATAGAATATAGAAATAAGTTAGGTTATTATGCAAGTGCTTAAACGATCAAACTTCCTCTTATCAGCATGACAAAACTAACAAACCTGCCATGCGTATCGCTTTCCATTCATGTCAACCATAAAATCTGCACACTCCGAGAAAGGGAAAAGGGAAATTAGAAACGTGAATTGCACAGCTCCACCTGAAAAGAGATCAATTGTAAAATATCCTCATACCAGCAGGATAGAAATCACTTATCGGCGAATTTGGGTCTGTCATCAGATTCCTAAAGCATTCTGGGAGTGCATGTGCACTGAGAATGAAACATGTTGAGCAAAGCAGTAACAGTTGATTTATGAAAATTTAGAAGAATAGATAGTGTACCTTGCGGCCGGAAGAACACCCAGAAGCTGATTGAAAGGTGTAAAAGGGGAGCCCAGTTCGAACTTAATATCCAGCTGATCAAGATTCTTGAGGTCGGATGCAAAAGGTGCATAATGGTATGGATAGAACCTTCAAAATAAACCAAGAACCACTAAATCCAAGGTCTACGGAACAGGGAAAAAGATTAAAAAGTGAAATTGGAAGGCATCACAATGTCTAGTTTTAAGTGACAAGAGTGCTGAAGGAAACAAAATTTAAAGAAACTTTGCCAGACCCATTGCAATTTCTTCGAGTACAAAATATTTATATATGAGGTTCCCATGAAGATGCAGAAGGATAAAAAAATGGAATCTTAGATGGAACAAATCTTTAAATCATAAAAGAAGAAAAAACGTGAATTAAAATGAAGAACATTTGTCAAGGAAACACGAGACATGTATATACATATACACACATGCAAGCTGAAGAAACCGATATCTCAGTGGAATTACTAAAGAATAACATCCTCCTCCATATCCACGAAAGAAAAAAGAAAACCAAATGGAACAAATTTGAAATTTAAAAAAAGGATGACGAGATACTAACCACTTCCAGGAACAAACACCGTCATAATAATAACGCATTACCCAACATAGGCCTTCGGTGTACTTAGCAACCTAGTCAAGACATTACCAAGACACTAAATAAGTGAAGTCTTAATTATTCAAACCTTATAAATACGAGTCAAGTAACAAAAACTGAAGAACTCACAACATCTCCCCGTATTTTTTCCATTTCCTCGACAGTTTTTGCTGAAAACTTTTCCTCATAGTATCTCTCCCTCCATCCAGGTTCACCCAGTCTTACCTGATTATATAGAAACCATTAGAGCTGATTACATATGTTCTCTGATAGGAGGAGACCGAGAAGAAGCCCGTTAAGAATGAGCATGTATGAGGTCTAAAAAGGGTTACTAGCAGTTCGCTGAAAAAATAAACAACTTACGATATCTTTTTGTGCATTTCCTGAGCAAAAAGCATCCGTTTTATCCCGTAGCAACTTCTTAAGCTTAAACTTCAATTCTTCTTTGTTCTCGAGTTCCTGAAACCCATTAGGTCGACTTTAGTACAAAAAGAGAGGAAACCAATCTCAGATCCAGAACAGTTATCTCCTTCCAAGCCAGGATCATACCACAAGGAAGATTTGTCCTTGAAATATGAGTCCAAAAAATGGCTGGCAGGAGCCCAAATTTTGTCAAAGTACCTCCTCAGAAACAGGACTAAATGCTTCTGTTCCAAGGCTGTTATCTGTGTCAACAATAGACACACCAACATTATCCTCCGGAAACAGACGACGAACTTTTTGGGGACGGGTAGAATCCATATTCTGCTTGTACGGTGAAGGTTGCGGACCAGAAGCAAGGCGTGAACCATGATACTGAGAGACTTGAACTAGAGACTCTGGTTGCACTGGAAACCCTGTATGACCAGTTCTGCCTCTTTGAGCATTGTCACGCATGATCCTTTCTGCTTGTCTCTGCCAAGTGCAAAATGACATCACAAGACATACCAATGAGAAGATACCAGAAACAAGAGAACTCGAAAAATAGATTCTTTAGATTCAAATCTTCCACCTTTCAATACCACATGGTGTATAAAACCACACTTTTTGAGTAGTGCAGTGCTTACAACTAATGCAGGGGAGAACCTTATAGCCAATTAGCCATTTTTCCAAAGAACATATGGCTTATTCTATTTACAATATTTCGGAATGCTACACAGAATCCTGGCCCAAAGAAGCAAAATGACAATCACACAGAGAAGCATAAGGGCCTCATTCAGTTGAATCAGTTCTAGCCTCCTTTCTTGGATTCTCCATTTTATTTTTAGTTTATACTGAATCAAACTCAGGTACTCGTTGCCCAAGCAACCACTATCAGAGTCTCAGGATATTATCCCACCCGGAGGAAACAATTAGACAATAGTATAAATTTTGCCTATGCTAAAGAAATGTTAACAGCCTGCTCAGAAAATGAGCAGCCGATGGGCACTACAATAGCAATAAATAGTTGGGCACATAATTATTGAGTGTATCATTTGCTCTTTCTAATAAAACCTTGAAATGGAAGGCTAGTATCAACACGTGAAGAAAATCAATATGTAAAAAGAACTTAAGATTCACCAGATGTAACCTAGCTCTCTTCTGAAAGATGCTATTTTCATACACTCCAACAGCCTGAATAAAGCGCTCAACTCTCTTCAAGTGTAACTGAAAATTGGGAAGACAAAAAATGTTAAAAAATTCTTATACAGGGGCAAGTACAAGTGAAAACAACTAATTAAATAAGTTACATAATCACTGCACCTTGCTTGATTTGGATAAGTAACCTCCAAATGATCCAAATTCCTTCTTATATACAGACATTAGCAATTCAACAGCACCCTGCAAGATGATAGCAAGTTCAGAGCATTACTAATATCATGTCTTACCTGACTGTTTCCAGCGCAATAGAGAGCAAAAATTGATACGACGATGCTTCAAACTCAAAAATACAGCTGTGTAAATTTGTATTCTGTGCAGTTTATACTATAATGCAGTGTCAATTATGAGCCAACTATTTTTATCCGTTACCCAGGGAGTCAATATGATGTTCAAAAACACAGATCTATCTTATCTAGGAATAATTTGATAACCCTACATCAAAGGGAGTTAGCGCAATATCACCTTACATGAATGACACTATAGTGTTTTACAGTAGAATAAACATCAATTTCCAAATAACAAAAGCAAACATAAAACTGTACAAACCTCTCGTATCTCTAATGTTGGCATATGTGGTAAGAAATCATTGCCAACAAAGAAACAGATGAATATGAAATCATCAACTATGCGCTCCAAATCAATTTGAAATGGAGGGTTAGATATCTGCATGTCATGCTCCAGATACTCTCTAAGCGTCCAGATGTTGAGAAACTGCCAACAAAAGAAAAGAACCCAATCATTAAATTCAAGATATACGCGTGCCTCTTAAATAACAAACAATTATAAAAGTATTATAAAATTCAGTTGCATAACATGAACTAAAAAAATTTAAAAATAGAAAATGAACGATACCTGGTATGGCTTTTTAACGGAGGCGTTTGCATCAGTTTTCTTATCAGATTCTCCAGCCTTCCTCTTTAACTTGCCCTGGCAATCTGCTGCGCGGTGGCCCACCTCACCACACAGAAAGCATTTGTCTTGTTGTCCAGGAGTGAAAACAACCTAAATCAAGTCATCACGGGAGGATTGATTGCATTCGTTTACATGGTTAACACACTTGTCCGGATTAAATGAGCTGAACTTTCCTAAACTTTGCTGGAGGTAAACCAAGGAAACAAAAGTACAAACCTCACGGAGGATTGAGAAATGAATCTCATGGGTAGCCAGAGCCAGCATAATTAAATCAGCGTCCTGTTAATAGAATTATTAGATAGAACACCTTCCCCAACCAGTACAGTCTAAAACCACTAAAAATATGGAGAAACTAAACGTAAAAGAAAATATCTACAAATGGAAGGTTACATACCAAACCATACATGCAATGGCGTGTGTTTACATTATAGCCAGGGAGGTTTCTTTGAAGGCGTATGTATGAAATTATCTTGTGTTCCCCCTCGCCAGGAACATTTGCATCAGAGAGGATAACCTTCAGAAAGAGAAAAGCATGAGTAAAATCTGAACAGTGCAGTAAATATTTGCAACAGATAATAACACAGACACAAATCAGCACCTTAATCTTTTTCCAACCAGGGTCATAGTTTAGCCTAAGGTGTATGTAGTATTGCAATGCAACTGATAAAGTAGACATGAACTCAGTTCCGGGAGTTATAACATTAGAATCAAAGGCTTGAGAATCCATTTTAGGAGGCAGTTTCCTCCCCTCCCTCTCAAACTCCTCACGCAACCGTTCTTCTTCAGCTGCCTGGATGAGATTTGAAAAAATAAAAAAAGCATCATGCTGTTAACTCATTTCCTGGTTTAAAACAAAATATATACAGAGGGTCAGTGAAAAAACTTCAGGAACAGACTCATGAAGCCAAAATTATAGATTTTCTAGAAAAATCCTGTTGCGACATCTATATAAGTAACCTGAGAAAAAGGGATCATTAACACATTTTGGTTGCTTCATCTTTCAGCTAGCTCCTTGCATAGAGCATACAAGAATGACAATAGAATGAAACTAACATTGGATGCAAACATATGCCATCAGATATTTATCATTAAAACATTAATAAACCTAAACGGGATTCGCCACAGAGACAAAGGCATATACTGCACTGCCTTTACAGAACTTGCAATCAGTAACATCTCCAACATCATACAAGGAACTTATATCACGAATTCAAAAGGAACAAACCACAACTACACCAAAATATTACGAAAGAACTACTGAAGAGAAACAGAACATACCGCTTCTGCTGCATCTTTAGCTGCTCTAAACCGCCTAGACCTCTGTTGATTCATTTTAGCCCGTGGAGCAACACCATCTGGAAATTACACGGACCAATGCCACTTGAATCATACGCAGAAAATAACTCATACAATATACATACATACACAGAGATACTCACCGATGGCCATGTATAGCAGCTTCCGTGGACGTACCATCACAAAGAGCCTGTCTATGTAATCAAACACGCACTGAAACACCTCGGAAAAGGTAGTGGGAGAAGGCTGGAACAAGGGAAAAACACCCATTCATAAAATAAAGTTAAGCAAACGACCACTATATCACACGAAATCGACGAATTAACATCCGAACAAGGTAAAACCAAACAAATGCAATTGATAAACAACTCGAAACCATACCCTGTCCTCGGGATGAAAGCATGGATGGATAATTCCGTTCATGTCGAGATACAAATTGTCATACTCGATGTTGTTAGGGTTAGGTTTTCTAGTGTCGACAGGGATTTTGACGCCATCGATCTCAACGGGCTGTTCTTCAACCACATCCTGGACAATCAACGGATACTTCTCCGCCAACCAACGGTAGAACGCCGGAACTCCCATTGGAGAAGACCCAAAACCTCGGAAAACCCTAGCTACAGTGACTGCGTGAAGCAGAAGAGGCACAGTTTTGAACTTCTTCGAGCCACTCGCCGGCGTCGGCGAAGCAAGGGACACTTTTATTGTAGGTCGCGGAGTCACAAAATTACAACGGGACTATAATACCCTTGCGTCTCTATCGGGGTGTGAAAACTGAAAAGGGGAGCCCTGCTCGAGACGGTTCCAAGCATATATTTTTTTTTATAAGTAAAACCTATAAAAAAATCAAATTTGTAAAATAGTAAAAAATAATTGGATAATTTAATTTTTTGACTTATAAAGATGTATCATTATAATTTTAAAATTTACAAAATATTTCATTATAATCTTTAAATCTAAAAAAATATTATTAAAATATGTTAATAGTCTCTAATGGATTTAAAATAAAAATAAAAAATTAAGGTATTTATATATATAGAGAATTTTGAAAAATTATAGGTGAAAATTTTATAGTTTGGATATTTATTTATAATTTTTATAAAAAAAAATTGGATATTTATTTATTATTTTTCTAATTTAAAACTGCAAAATTATTGGCAAGACGATCAATACACTTCGATCTGATCGTGGTGGCGAGTATATGAGCCAAGAGTTCTCTGACTATCTGGTTCATTGCGGTATTGTATCACAATTAACTCTTCCTGGAACGCCACAGTGAAATGGCGTGTCTGAACGGAGGAACCGAACACTGTTAGACATGGTTTGGTCGATGATGAGTCAGACAGATCTTCCGAAGTCCTTTTGAGGCTATGCTTTAGAGACCGCTGCGTACCTGCTAAACATGAGTCCAACAAAGTCGGATGAAACGACGCCATATGAGATATGGACGAGAAAGCGTCTCGTGTTATCGTGTGTCAGAATTTGGAGTTGCGACGCCTACGTGAAGTGTCAGATGACTGATAAGTTATCCTCCAAAATTCATATTTCGGTTGATTTAGAATTTGAATAGAGGCATTATAAAAAAACACATTTACTTTGTTACATGGATTTCTGGTCGTAATCTTCTACATCTTTTTTTTGTTTGATCAATGTAATCATCGTGATATATTTTTATAATCACATTGATCATACCATTAAAATTACATGATGGTCAAATTAATCACAATGAATCACATCATTTAAATTTATATAGTGATCATATTGAACACACTGCTTACACAAAAAATAGATTAAAAAAGTTATGGTTTAAATAGAACATTATCAAAAATATCATCGCTTTGCTATTTTAACTTCAACATATATCTTTCTCTATCTATTACTCTGTAATATATGTGACCAGAAACGTATTTTAGTCACATATTAGTCTCATTAATCATAACGTTAAATTTATAATAGTTTTATCAAATGAATAGTAAAATATATAAGGGATGAACATAATGAATTAGTATGATCATCATAAATTTAACATTACGATCAATTAGATCAACATGTAACTATGCTATATTTTTTTGCCATATGGGTCATAAAATCACAGATAAAGAATGGTATGTGTTGAAGTTAAAATAACAAAGAAAATATATTTTTGATATAATGTCGAGTTAAAGTACACGTATCAAAACAAGGGTAGTTTTGATATAATATCGTTTGAATATCCAAACTACTTCCTAACTATTTAGATTCCCATTATGATACAAATGAATAAGTAATAGTTAATTTGGGATACCTTCTATCACACTTTTATCATTTTTTATGTTAGGATATATGAATTTTAATATATGATGTTAAATATTTACGGTATATATTTGTTGACGATACAATTAGGATATTAAACTAAAATACATAAAATACACTATAGAATAATCCTATATCGAAATATACACCAAAAAATAGCTGGGATTCATTATACCATTCTAATTTCCAGTAAAGTTATTTCCAATCATTTAGGATTTAAACGTTATTTTTTAAAATGTGATTTTGGCAAGAAGACTATAGACTTGGGAAATTATATAATAAACACATATAGGTATTATTGCCTCACCAAAGGACGGCTCTATTTCATCCACGGAAGATGCAAAGCCAAATCAACTTCACGTGAATAATTAAATTACTAAAATATAAAATATTTTCATTAAATTTATATTTCTTCTAGAAAAAAATTGTATAATGCATGAAACTTGGTCTATGCAGTGATTTCTCCTTATGTTGTATGTAATAAAAAAAAATGGACGATAGATATCATTAGCAACTTGTTAGCGTTGAAACTAGTGGCCAATATTTAAATAATATATATATGCTTAATATATGTGATTAAGCACCCATGTTCACATTTATAAGTGTCATCATAGTAAACTTGTAGATGCATCTAATGATTGAAGAAATCGTTATCTGTATTTGAATGAGGTAATAGATAAAAAAAAATAATTTATGTTTCTCTTAATATAAAATCAATTAGTATAATCATTACGGATGATATTTATGATATAAATAATTCGAATCTTAATTACTAGTATATATGACAATTCAAAATTAGTTCCATATTGTATTAAAATAAGAAAATATCAAACATGTTTGGAAAAAATAAAATTAAGATATCGAGAAGTTGGTAGAGAAAGAAATGCAATTTTTCTTAAAGGAAACAAAATTAGAAACAAAGATAAAATTTTAAATACATATATATATATATATATATATATATATATATATATATATATATATATATATAT